TCAAGCAGTCAGCAACTGATGGCAACTAATAAACAAACAGCCGACTGAACCACTGAAAGACCGAACGACCGACGACAGCAAGGACCTGTGGGGAAAGCGTGTGCATGAAGTGAGTGCGACGGCAGCTAAACGTGTGCACGCTGCGATAACAGGTCGTCCTTACCGTTGCAGCAACAGCACGCCTCCTGCTGCCACACACTCCTTCCGCCAAATGGCCGTTGTCCCTGCTGCCGGCACCCGTAGCCTGTGTTGGCAATCAACCAACTCGCTTTTATTTCTCTGTATGTAGGTGTGCTTGTTTGTGTGTGTGTTTGAGTATCTGAATCTGTTACTGTATGGGTGGGCATGTTTTTTATTGTTAATCCTTGCAAACAAGTAAATGCGTTGTAAAGCAAACACGAAAAATATGTGCAGCAGGATTTGCACACACAACGACGAACACAGGGCTCAGAGAGTGTTGCGAAGAGGCAAAAGAAGGAAAAGGATGCAAAGGGAGTAACGTGAGCACGCGACTTTCGTACGCTCGGCTGGACTGAGTCTTATTTGCGATTTGGGGTTGGGGTGTAGTGGTTAGGCTTGAATGGTGAGAAGTTGATTGCTGAACGTTTACATTCGCGAATGGCGCTAAGATGGACTTAACAACAAGCATTTGTAATGAGCGCTGCGGCGAAGAGGGAGTGACGCCAAGGCATTATTTTCAACTTCACTCTACCATTCTGACATACCGTCTGCCACTTCGTCTGTCGCTTCGCCGCTGTTATTGTTGCATTGCATACTGGGATGTGGCGTTGGGGTGCCGCTGCTGCCGCTACTGTTGGTGGTGGCTTATCCAAGGAAAAACGAATTAAGTGCACATAATAAAGATGAAGAAAGAAAGTCAAATCGACAGCAAAGCGGTCTGCACGTAACTAATCAGCAATGGCAATGGCAACGGCATCGGCGTACTCGCATAAAAACTGTTGTCGTGCTGTAGCACTCAAATGGTTGCATAAAAATATTTGCAGCATATGGAATTTCTGTAGTGTTGAAAATATGCTACGCAGGTGGCTGATTGTCGATAAACTGAAATGTGTAACAAAGTATTTTGACTCGCGTTTTTTCTTTACTTTTGCTGCCTGTGCGATTTTGTGTGTGTGTGTATTTGTGTATTTAGAGCTAAAGTTTGATTGGGACACAAATTAATTCAGGGACTTGGCGATTTAAATTATTTAATATAAAAATTGAAATAACCAAATTAAAAAGCATAACAGAAATAAACGCAAATCTTTATACCATTTGTTTGGATAGCTTACCAGACGGTGAAGGTAGCGGAAGAGTAAGACCTGCCCTCCGCTTGAAAGATGAGATGGAGGAAAATCTGGCTTCCACCGGAGGATTCTTATTTATTATTATTATTACTTCCATTTGCTCGGCTACCGAAGATGTTCCTCGAACGTGAAATCCGGACGTGTCGAGATCAACGTGCCAATGTACCGACTATAAGTATAAGAACTGAAGCTCTCAGAAAGGAGCGAAATCTAGAGAGAGAGCAAGATCATTTTCGTCGAGGAATTCAACGTTCGTGTTTTCTATGCCCAAGAATACGCGGGAAATGTGTAAACAGGTGGAAAGTCATGTGGTACTTTCTCTCTCTAGCTCATCCACCGTAAAGTTGTCTGCAATGTCCCTGTCCTTATGTCTGGACACCCAGACCACAGCTGTGTTGCATCTTGGGCAGGGTTTGCTTGCCCTTCTGCATTTTAACGCCACTTTTGTTCTGATGTTATTACATTGAAGTGATCTACTGGCGGCTTTCTATCCAAGTATATACTGAGTGATTGGTTTGTACACAGAGATCTCAGCATTTGATCCTTGGGTAAACTAATGTTTTGAAGCTTTGTCTACAATGCTAGCAGCAAGCCATCCGAAAGTCTTAAGTATGGGCTCCCGACTCAAAACTTTACATTTCTACTTTATAATTTTATAACCAAATAACTCTGAGTTAGAATTCGAAAATATGCAATTTTTATCTCTTTCGGCTTTCCTAGATTCAACTCGGGGCGGAGCGGAGCAAATCTAAAATGTTTTTGGTTTTAAAGAATGCAACACGGAACTTTAAATCTTTAAAATTTAGCATTTAATTGATATTTTATTTATCCAACAGTATTCACTTTGCCACAAACACATTTCTCTCTTCCAATCGCACTCAACCATGAAATGGCATTGTGTCATTTTCTTCTAACTCCTTTTTCGTTTACGTTTCTTTTAACCACGTCAAATAGATTCTTTGGCCAATTAAGTGATGAGGTTAGTTGAGAATTCTCTTTTGGTAAAGTAATTCATTTGTTTGCTTTTGCTTGCATTTCGTCAGAATTTCAAAATACGTTTTCAAATAGTCAATCTAATGCCACAAATATACAATGAAAGCGTCTATATAATTGCTAAGCAATGTACGTCCATTTATATGCAGTAAAGAAGATATTGCCTTAAACTCCTTAGATAAGCATAGCTTGAAGAGCATGAGAAGTTGTATGTGTGTGACGTTATGCATTAAAGTGTTGTAGGTTCAAGGCGACAATAGAGATGTTAAATTGTTAGTGTAAATTTTCATATACTAAATAATTACTATGTCATATTGGATTTATGTACGTATGCCGAATAAAATATTGCACGGCTTCACGCCCTCATATGTTTTTTTATTTACAAATTTTTAACACAAAATCTCAAATCTGAAAAATCTATCGTGGTCCGAGCTGGTTCAAACAAGTGCTCGTTCAATCTGAAAATCCTTATACCTAGTTTGGCTGAAATATTTCCAAAACTGTGGTACTAATTTGCGTATAAACAGACGGAGAGACGGGCATGCCTTTGGGAACGCAACGCGCCTTTACGACCCGATCGGCACAAATATTAACGGGTGTATATCTTTTTCTTCAAGTACTTGACTTCTTCGGACCAAGGTTTAATTACCACTTAATGTAAATTAAAGGTTTGATAATCTAAAATTTGATTCGAATTCCCTTACTAAAACAAACATTTTTTTTAGTAAAATATTACATTCTTGCCTCGTCATTTTTTTTTATCTGCGCAGCGTCAGTCCTCTCCCTTAAATCGCATTACCAACAAGACTAATATGTATGTTTGAACTGAAATAGCATATTTTAAATTAAAATTGGTAGCGGAAAGCAGTACCAAAAGTTCTCTTGAAAATTGTTCTCTTATTCCCACGATTCAATGAAATTCCCGCAGGATAATCTTACAAAAACTATTGCAAGTTTGCAACAAATTAATCTTCCTTATTTAAGCCATGCATCCTTGACATTGTGCCACTAAATTGAAATTAATTCGGGGTTAAAACAACACACGCACATACAATTCCAAACAGCAGCAAAAACAACGAATGAAACTCGTATATTAAAATGAACTGAGAGCTTGCTAAACTCACACAAACAGACATATACATCAAACGTTTGCTTCTTTGCTTCCTTGCTGCCGTCCTCTTTCCTACAGCACACATTTTCACTACACATCTTCATCACTATTTGTATATACACGTACGTATAGTACACGTACATATAGTATGTGAATGTGCGATTTGTATATAGATGTGTGTGCACCTTGTCTGCGCCCAAAAGTGTGCTAAACGTAGGGCTGCTTTACTGCTTAGCAACACCTTGACGTCACCATGCACCTTTCGCGGCTACGAAGCAACGCTTGTTGCCAGACGTGCTATGCTGTGCTGCGCTCGGTTGTATGACTGCTGCACCGTCTCTCTGTCTGCCTTGGTGTCTAGCTGTGCATAAGTCCCTGAAACGTCTGGCAGTTTGGGAGTATATTTTCCTTTATGTTTGTCCGTCCGTCCGTCCGTCCGCCTGTCCGCCTGCCCGCCAGTCCGCCTGCCCGCCAGTCCGCCTGTCTGTGTGTGCTTCAGTCCTGTCGTTGCTTTGCAAGTCATATGAAACGTCTACTCAGGCACTTGGCGCTCGACACTGCGGCGGATGAGTGACTTATGTCTGGCGTATAGAATATTCAACACAGTGTATGAATGAATGGACCGAAAACGCGAATAACGAAAATGTGGCAAGCAGGAAAAAAGAAAAACAAATACTATCCAAACTAAGAATGAAGAATGCTGGCATATAATAAAATGAGGTGGAAAATTTGCAACATTGTAGCGTGACAGTTCGTTGTAAGGAAGTTGCAAGGCCGCCAACCTACACAATTATATACATATATTCCTGCAGGCGTACTTTGAGCACACTACAATCGGCTTTCCAGCAACTGCTACTGTGCATGGGAAAAAATCAGAAAATTCACGCCAAAGCCACTAAAGGGTTAAACTCTTCAGCCACAGCTGGGCTGTCTTTAAAACCTCGTGCTCAGCAGACAGGATTAAATAAACTTAAATGCTTATTTCATAGCAGTGATGTGTGTATGTGTTTACACACTCGTTCGCACAGCAATACCTACACTCCCTCCGAGCTGTGCGTCTGACACTTCATGAGCCTACTGTGACTGACGTCGACATTGACTTTACAGCCACTGTGGCCGCTACTGCCGCTGCCTCTCGCATGTTACAGCTGCTATTGTAGCTTACCCTTGAAAAATTTTCTGTTTTCGCTACTGATTTTTCACACCAACACAACCAACGACTTTTTTATTGTTATGACTCCCTAAAGGAGGCGATTTGAATGAAATCATTTTGCCGAGCGTCGAACCAGCTGGTCGTCGCGTAAAGAGCGGTAAAGTGTCTCGCAGTTAAAACGACAAGTTCGATATAAGATTCGGTTTTGCAGAAAAAAGGGAAAAAATACTGGAAATTATGCATAGAAAAAGTTATTGAAAATTTGCGTAAAAATCTTTATTAGTGGCTTTTGGGAAATTTCTGCGTGCTCACGAAGCATAAAAATTCCCTCATCAATGCGCAGGCGTTGACTCACGCACGATTGAAATGTTCTGCTCTCACTTTGCTATTATTTACACATCAACTGATAATATTCTCATTTTTTCTCTCTTTGCAGCTTGCTACTCTCCCAATTGGCTCTCGCAACACCTGTGCCAACGAGCATCCGATTCGGGGAGTGTGCATTGACAGCGGTATTTGCTTCAGCACTCAGTTCACGCGAAAGGCTCAACATTGACAACGCTTGCATCCGCTAAACTAACTTCACCGCTAACCTGCTGGCGATGAGGCGCTCGTGAGCAACGATTCCTAACGCATTTCGATGAGTTGATTTTTCGCCGCATTTGAACTTCCGTTCAAAAGCGAAGATAATTCGGTGAGATTCTCGTTTATTAGTGTCTCGCATGTTCGCCCTATACAGCGCAACTCGCTTGGCTGCTAGTGTACATGTAGATGCGTTGACTTTAGCGGCCGATGGTGTCGCTTGTGTGTTTATTTAACACAAATCCTGTCGCTCAGCGAACTTAGTTAGTGTTTGAATTTCGTGATGTGCGGTTACAAATTTACGGCTGGTACGCGGAAGCACTGAAAAATCGTTTCAGCGAAATATTTTCGGCAATCGGAATTTGAGCTTCAGTAGAAGAAGAGTAGTATTTGGAAAATATGAATGAGTTGCAGTATTTGAAAATGTTTGAAAGTAGAAACGTTAACGCGTACATAACAAGTTTATAGTGGAAACTTAAAACTAAACAAAAACCATAAAACAAAGGTCCAGGAAAACAGAGAAATGCTAAAATAAAAAAAAGAACCAAAATCTAAATATTAAAGAATACAAAAAGTCATACCAACAAGCGCTCTGTTGTTTATTAAAGAAGGCTTTTGGAAAAAGGGCTAGCACAAATAATTAAATTTCTCAAATGTGCTACAGTGAAGTATCCAAGGTTCTTGAAAGCAGTGCAAATTCATAAATCAAAATAAATTACAAAAATAATTATTTTCAAAAATGTGCTCAAAACAAAGCTGTCGCTGCGGCGTTGTATGGACAACCGTGCCGCGGTTGCTCACATCGCTAATGCTGTTGTTGTTTGTGGATTACGCCTATTCGGATTATGAAAACACATGGAATTTATATTATGAACAGCCTTGCTGCTTGCGGACGTCCAGTATGCACCACATACGGCATCACAAAGGTAAGCTAAATTAAGAGAAACTCAACATTTAAATTCAAAAAATAATATTTTTACTAATTTGAAATTTAAGTATGTGCGTGGAAAACTTAGCCTCTCAGAGCCTTTCTCAGCTGTCGATTTTATATTCCAAAAAGAGAGTAGTTATTTTTAATTTTTTTGGTCATACGCACATACGCTCGATACCATAAAATGAGTATCACAATGAATCAAACAAAATAAAGGAACAAAACTATTCAATTGCAATTTGTTTAAATCAAATATAAATTGAAAAAGCCAAAGTAAAACCAAAAACAAAATAAAACAAAATTTATTTAATAAAAATTAATATATAGCATGGCCGCAAAAACAAATAGAGGAGTCCAACACAACACACTAACCAAGCTGTCAAGAAAATAGCGGTTAAATTAGCGCACTTAATAGTTGTTGGTTAATAATGAATTGAATAATACAACAAAGATTATATGGTTGATGTTGGTGCAGTGGTAGAGCACTCGCTTGTCAAGTGAGGATCCGTTGGTTTGATCCCTGCCATAAGCAGTCCAATGAGGAGATGTGGTAATCTCCGAAACAGCTGTCACTTCTACCATTTTTCTTTGTTGTATAACAAATATTCAATTCATACAAACAACAAGGCCTCTTAGTTTACTTAACAAAAATTAACAAAATTTAATTGAGAAAATGCCATAAAATAGATTTTAAATTTACATTTTTGTATTTTTTATAATTTCCAAGGTAATTTTTTATATCTTTGTTCAAACGGTTCACATGATTCCAATAAGAACAATTACTATTTTTAAATCGCTTTTTTAAAATAAATTTAAAATTTGACTAATGGCCCCAAATGGTTTAATTTTAAGCCGATTTTGAGTGAGATTAAAAACACGCCTCATAATTATACCAATTTATGCTTTAGTTTTAAAGTTTTTTTTAAGGTTGTTATAAAGTTAACATTACTTTTATTAAAGTTGTCCAATTCTCTATATGAATAGTAATCTAGTTCTGTGGAAAAGCTTTATCAATATCAAATTTTGTTTATTCCTTACTGTGCGATAGTTCTCAGCAAAATACGTATAAATTTTAAAAGTTTATGTGTACTTATTCACAGCATAATTAATATATGATGTATAATAATTTAGATCCATCAAAAATAATTACAGGCTAATATACTGAACCCCATTGCCACTTTGGCTCTAGCAACTACATACAATTTCTTCTGAGACGCCTCCAATGACTCATGCTATTTACTTAGTAACAGATTTACATTTCGTCTAGATGAGACCCACTGGGTCTACCAGTTTAACCTTACCTAACATTCGAAGAGGTTGATAACCACTGCCAAATTGCTACCGCAATCAGAAAATTAATTATTAAAATATATATAATGAAGTAGAGGTGCCCAAATATAAAGAGTTAAAGAGAAGAAAGGGTTATTTCATTCATTATCTATAGATAAATTGGAAAATATTGCAAGTTTTTATGCAAAAGTCTTAATATAAAACCTGTGTCTTTCATTTCGTAAAATGCGAAAAGTGCAATTTGTACCCTCAATAACGTGGACATTGAAAAACCGTAAGAATTTGTGTTTGATCAAGTAAACTCATTTATGAATTATCAATATGCTTTTCTAATTGGCTTCCTATATATACGAGTATAACATTTTTATGTGGACTTTGTATAAATATCAGTCGAAAATTTAGTCTTCATTGCTTGTTTTCTTTTAGCATGTGTCTTAAACGTAAATATAAACAACTCGGCTCCCACTGTTAAGAGTCAAAACTTCGAGGTCGCAAATAATTTCATTTATACAGAAAATAGCATTAGCACCAAAAACAATATCTGCATTAAAATCCAACAGAGAATAACTCTTGGCAACAAATGCCACTTTAGACTGAGTAGACAACTGAAAGTATAGTTCTCTCGAGACGAAGAAAGACCAAACCCCACAAGTCCCTCATAATTCCTGTCCTGTTATATGGTGCAGAAGCGTGGACGATGTTTACATCCGATAAGTTGGCTTCAAGAGTGTTCGAGAGAACGGCGAATACCTCAGAGAATGGAACGATGAGCTGTACGAGTTATAGCATGACATTAATATATGATAGTACAACGAATGAAGGGATAGCAGCCCCAGTTACACTCCTGATGGTGAGAGTAGAGGAAGTGGAGGGCTTCCGCTCCCTTGGAAGGATCAGGTAGAGAGCGGCCTGTGTTAATTTTTATTCCCAACTCTTGGTGATTCGCTTTCAAGCGAATAAGCGGTGCCTACGCCAATTAAGAAGAAGAGAGAAGGGTTTTCATTACAATTTAAAAATAAAAATAAAAAAAAAATGAAATTGGTTGATTTTTTATAAAAACATATATTTTAAGAAACTCGCTAAATACCACCGTGTCTAAACGCTTAACTTTCAAAAAACTACATTCGTAATTTCTTTTTTGATTTCATGTATGAAAACCGCCCACAGCGCAACAGACAATATTGAAAGAAGCATTCGATTAAAATATTTGTAGGGCGTTTCATTTTCTACAAGAATAGGAACCTCTGATAATTATTAATTAAGTTAAGATAAGTTTCTCATGAAAAATTAAAAAAAAAACGAAATTAGTGAAGAAATTCATTGGAGTTGTATGGAAATTCTATCGGCTTTGTGCAAATATTTAATATTAATTTAAATGATTTGGGTGTCATATCATGTTATTACCTGTATATATATTTATATACAACCACAGTATTTGAAAGACTTATGTTTCTTCCACAGGACTAATTTTGAAAATATTTTTGTTATAATTTCAAAATATTTATTTATTTATTCATGAATTGTACTTCAAAATTTATTGGTAATGTCTTCTCAATACCCTAATTATAAAGAGCTGAATACGATAGTTTCGTATTTTATATTTGCATAACATTATTTTCATCACTTTTTAACTTCTCTTCAGATCTCTGCACCTTCTAGAAGATAAGCAATTTGTTGTTATTTTATTTAAAATTCTTTCAACTGATCCTAATCCTTGGTTTATTATAAAATAAATGTTTTCTTTTGCATTTTCTGCAAAAAGTCTTGGTTTGCTTAAACTTTTTGGAACACAATTTTATATCTCAACTTTTTTCAATTATACGCTCTTCGTTTTGTGCTTTTGTACTTCACATTCACCGCTTATTGGCATTGTTCATTCTGCAATTCACTTTCTGCAGCTCAGTGTGAATCTCTTAACAAAAATAATTTTACTTTAAGCCGCTTTTCTATTATTTCTATCATTCATTGTTTTCCACGCCCACATTCAGTCAGCTTGCAGTCCTGGCAACCGCCTTCACTTCACTCTACCTACATTTGCGGTGCGGTTGTGTTGCGTTTCATTTGTCTTTTTCAAATTGTTTTCTCCATCTTCGCTTTGGTTTTTTATTGTAGTATTTTTGTTTGCCCGCAATGATTTTCTTTCGCCTTTTACAACTTGTTCCTACACTTCGGCACTTATTTTCGCATCCTTTGCCACCACACAATGTCCGTGCGAGTGTTGTTGGGCAACAGTTTCTTCAAACAAGTATTACTTTAGCCGATTTTGGCCATCTCTTGCAGCAACAACAATGTGTGTGTAACAACTTGTAGGTTTATTGAGTTCCTTCTTAGTTTGCTATCAACTTTTGACCAGTTTTGTGCCCTCCACCGCGCACTTATGCTCCCTTCAGCACGAGCACCTCGTGCGCGCCATCGAAATCGTTAGTGCTGACTGGCGAAAAAATTAAAAAGTTTTTGTTTGTTCTGATTTTTTGAATTTTCTTACTTCAGCCTTCAGTTTTTCCTTCTCCTTCGTAAGTCTTCTACTCTTTGGTTATATACATAATTGGACTTTGAAGTTTTCGCTATTAGGGTCTAATTAGTTTTCAAGTGTTGTTTTTATGGACTTAAAGTTTTTTCGTGGCACAAAATGCGCCTTTGATTTTTTCTCAGCCTCGAGTGCGCGAGATGCACAAAATTGCTAAGATTTCCTTCCGTTGATAAGTTAAAAGCAAACATTTCTTATTTTTTTGGGGTTAATTTTACAAATTATTTACTTGAATATCGCAGGACTCAACGTTGTGGTGCCCGTATAAAAGTCGAAAGCGAGTGGTGTGATGCTTGGGCGAAAGGCTTGCCGTCATCATTGACTCTTCTAATTATGTTTCAGTTACCATTGAAAATATTTTTATTGCAGACAAGACATACCGTGAGTGTGAGTCGTAAAAATCCCTCTCTTTCAACATTCCGGGATAACACATAATCGATGATTTGTTTTTCTGTTTGGCACAAAGCAATGGTAGGATGAAGGGCTAAGCGTGAATAATTATTTTGGAATTGCTTTAAATATAATTACGAAAAATCGTTGAAACAGAAGACTGCTTGAGGTTAATACAATAAAGCAACAGAAAACTTAAAAAATTAAACAAAATGAAATAAAATAAAATAAAATAAAATAAAATAAAATAAAATAAAATAAAATAAAATAAAATAAAATAAAATAAAATAAAATAAAATAAAATAAAATAAAATAAAATAAAATAAAATAAAAAAAATAAAAAAAATAATAAAATAAAATAAAATAAAGTAAAATGAAACAAATAAAATAAAATTAAAAAGAAAAATAAAATAATATAAATTGAGATTAAATAAAATAAATTAAAATCATATAAATGTCTCAGATAATAGTGAAAAATTTACGGAACAGTTTTGGACGGTAGATGTAATAGCTGTTATTTCGGAAAGCAGGTCTCTTCATCAGACCTTTTTTCCAGACATCTTTGTTCGGATTAGATTCGAAGTGGGGATGCCCACAGCCCGAGCCATTGGTTGTGCCAATAAGTGCCGCTTTGACTTATTGTTGTCCCTCAATTTTTCCCTATTACCTACATATCCACGTTCAAGTGCACAGATATTCTGTACCTGTAAAACTTGGCGCGATTTAGTTGTTTTTGCGAAGAATTTACCAACAAATATTTTAAAGCAACGAGTTTATTATCATCGGAA